AAAATAAGTCAAACCTCAGTTGAGTCACCTATGGGTTAGAAAATAAATGCTGTGGTAAGCCACTAACATTTGGGGTGGGGGGGTATTTGTTACACAGCATTATTACAGCAATGATTGAGTAATACATTGAATATACAAGCTCTCTGCAATGTATACTCTCCGAGACTTTTAGTGCCAATCCCAAGCCATTTTCACCCACGCACCTAGAGTAATCCTCATTCTCGTATATTGAGCACCTACTGTTTTCATGCCAGGATAACTAGCTAGTGAGTGTGTAGCAGAACTAAGATTCACATATGTCACATTCCAGAGCAGTGTGTGTTGTTATCACACTAGAGGCCCAGTACACGAAATTCATGCATGGGTAGGGTCCCTAGCAGCTGCTGGCTGCCGACTGCCAGCCGGGACCTCCCTTCCCCCAGCTGCCTGCTGTTGCCACTGGCTGGAGCCTCCCTTCCCATGGTTGGCCAGCCGGCCCAGCCCCCTAGTCGAACTCCTGGTCGAGGGGACAATTTGCATATTAGGCTATTATCATATAGGACTAGAGGCCCATTGCAGGAAGATTCCTGCAAGAATAAGGCTTCCTTGGGCCTATTCCTGCAAGAACAGGGCTTCCTGAGACCAGAGTGAAGCAGAGAAGGCACCAAAGTTGGAGGCAGTCTTCGCTCCCTCCCGTCTCTGCTGCCTCGGTTCCCTCCCTTCCCCACTGCTTAGCTCCCTCCCTTCCCCGCCACCTCGGCTCCTTCCCATGTCCATGGCCTTGGCTCCCTCCCTTCCCCACCACCTCAGCTCCCTCCCTTCCCTGCCACCTCAGCTTCCTCCCTTCCTCGCTGCCTCGGCTCCCTCCCGTGTCCTCTGCTTCACCTCCCTCCCGTGTTCGCCACCTCGCTCCCTCCCTTCTCTGCCACTTCGCTCCTTCCCATGTCCGCTGCCTCGGCTCCACTCCCATCTCTGCTACCTCCGATCCGTTCCCTTCTCTGCTGCTTGGCTCTCTTCTGCAGTGCTTGGCTTCCTTCTACACTGTCTTCAGTCTTCACTGGGCGCCTGTGTATGCAAATTAACCGCCATCTTTGTTGGGTTAATTTGCATACTCTTCTGATTGGCTGGTGGGTGTAGCAAAGGTACAATCAATTAGCATCTTTGTCTTTTATTAGTGTAGATTTCCATCCTTTTAGTCTGTTCTCCAGCCACAGAGTGGGATTTCCCACACATGTTTATTACATAAGACTGCACTTCTCCATCTACTTTTGTAGGTTAAATCTCAGACTCCCTTTTATGTATAATCTGATAGTATTAACAATGACTAATGTTTGTTGAGTGATATGTTCCAGACACTGTTCTGAGTTACTCAGTCTTCACAATAACCTTATGAGATAGGTACTATCATTACAACTATTACATAGGAGGAAACTGAGACACAGAGAGGCAAATAACATGCAAGGCAAAACAGTGAATCACAGATCTGAAATTTAAATATGATCTTAACCACTCTACTGAATCCCCACCCATTGTTACTGGGCCTCTGTGTCACTGTATTACTCTGCACATACTACCTGTATTACAACTCTGCACATTTCATGATGATTATTTCTACTACTATTTTCCCACTTCACTGTGAACTTTCAGAAATCAAGGACTCAATTTTAGGTGTCCTATGTCTGGTATCTGGTAAGGTGGCTGGCCCATAGCTACTTCTCACTAAATGTTTGTGAAGGCTATTTGCTGTTGAACTGCCTTGTCATCAGTCAAATTTCCATTTCAAATTGCTAGAGAACTGGTCCAAATTGCCTTTCTCAGAAACATGAAAATGATACAACCCATTTTGAGAGTGATTTATAGAAAATTATGTATTTCATGCAGTTGTAAAGGATACAATGATAAGAAAAAAATTCACATTTACCCTCAGGCACTTGCCTTTTCAACATCAATCAAACAATCAACATATCATGATGTAGCACTTCCTATGCATCAAAAACAGGCCAACCATTTATACTAGAGGTGGCTAACTAATGACTTTGAGCTCTGGTGGCTGTAATTTTTTAAAAGCTACAGTCTTGTTTTTGTGTCTTTGAGCATTTGGGATCAATGAATATGGAAAGAAGTTAAGATAAAATAAAAATTTTTATCTGTCTGCCTTTTCTGGAAGCTTCAATGGCTCTGGGAGAGTTTATTGATTCCTAAAGAAAAAAAGTACCATTCTCTTTTAAGGAAGGGTGAAATAAAGGAGGATTTAGTGAATAAAAGGAATCAGAGCAATTAGCATAGCCTTTTAAAATCTGGGATTATCTCTATTGATTAGATAGCTTTAAAATTGTTGAAGGTAATGGAAATTACATACTAGACAGGGGTTAGGACTTCCAACCAAGACCCTCCTTTTTGAAGAAAAAAAGCCCAGGGTTGAGATTCATTCATGAAAGTGAAATGAGAATTTCTGAAGGTTTCAAAGTGTAGTAGGAAAACATTATTTTTTCTCTATAAAGGTTAGGTACTCATAGGCATGTGTTGAGATTTTGGGGACCAAGTACAGGTAGCCTGTTAAGATACACTAATCAAAACAAAAAGGGAAACTAGAGGCAATATTTATATTCAACCCATTAGACCTATGAAAGTGAACAGAGAGGGTGGCAATGGTAAGTAAAGTCTCATTCTTCTCAAAGTTCAAGGCTTGTTGGTGGGTTATTTGCTTTCAGTAAATGTATGAATATTTTTCTTTGGTGGTGGGACATTTTCAGCAGATTCATTTTCTTAACCAAACTGAAAAAATGCATACAATTAGGATCCAAATATTTTAAGAAAAAAAATAGGTGAGCAACATTTTCTTCTTTAGTGTTGACTTCTTACCAGTTCTGTGTGAATACACTCAATGAAAAAATAAGTGGGATTTTGAATGGCCTAGTGATTTTTTTGGTCAAATCTTGCCTGGGTTTTAGAGAATTAAAACAGATGCACATTTCCCTTATCATATGCATTTGCTGTATCAACAGAATGGTTCGTATCCCAGATGTGGGGAATGCAATTTAAGAAAAGTAAGTCTCAAGGTTGAAGAAGGAATATAATGATGAAAAACATAATTGAGGCAAGAAAGCACAGAGCTCAGTATTTTGTTAGCTGGGGTAATTTTTAAAATCATATATAAAAAGGAAGACGGAACATGGTACTTTGGTGGTTCTTTGTGTGGGTGTGATAGCCCAGGATAAGTGGTACACAATTGGAGTATATGCAAAATTGCATTGTAATGAACAGGAGAGAGAGTTGACGTTGAACTTAGGCCTGCATTCCCCATATAAGTCAGGTATTTCATCAAAATACATGCCCTCACCTGTTCCATTGTATAACCACATGTTTGCTTTATGTGTATTCATTTATTCATCAATATGTATTGAGTCTGTACAATGTGCTTGGTTGAGGGCACAATAAATCTTTTCTGTCCTCAAATCTGTCACTCCCACCATCTTTCCTTTCGGGGTAGAAGTCACCATCTGTCTGGCTTATAAGCCCCGGGCCCAAGGAACAGGGTTGCTGGCCTGCGACCTGCCCTATGAGGGTCCTTCTTGGGTCCTCTTGGTCACAGCCCTTGCCAGAGGATAAGGAAGGAGTCCATGGCACAAAGATATCCCACTGAGAGCTTGTGTCAATCAAGAGACTATTTGTCCACCCTTCTAGGCCAAGGGCATGCCACCTGTGCAGTCATACAGGGCCCTGTGCTCAGGAAGATCCACCCTTTATTTAAGGCTCTGTTGTTACTGTCTTGAAAGTCTTAATAATTTTAGCTTTAAACTTGTGTTTTGTGAATGAAGTCTGATGTGACAATGGAGATGCACGTGAGCAGAGGAGACACAGTATATCTTCTATATGCTACATCTCTGCTGTTCATGCCACCCCTTTAGCATATAGCGTTACAGTGCCCCATGAGCACAGATTGCTGGTGGACTCACATGTGTGGGAGTTTAGTGAGACTCAAAGCAAGTACGAGCTATGTTTGTTATATCTATGATTGAGGAAGTGAGGGTGCAAACTGCTTCCTACTTGAACTAGAACTTGCATTGAGTGCAAAAAGAAGGTCATTCTAAGAAAGCACAAATGAGCAAGGAACCCTATCATATCCTTTCTTACTCATTTACTTGTCTGCATTAACTAACCACTTTTGTTGAAAAATGAAGATACAGAAGGTAAAGGAAAAATAGGCTAACACAGGATTCCTGTTTCTTTCAGTTCTTTCTTACTCATCAGTACACTGAAAGTAGAGAGTATTGCTGGAATGTGCACATATCAGGAAGTGAAATAAAAACAATTAAGTTAATTTTGTGCAGGCTTCCCATTGTTATGTAAATTGTATAATTTTGGTGATTCTTCATATGAGTTAAAAGCTCTTATGTTTCCATTTAAAACTGGCATTGTACACTATAAAGATGAACAGTAAAATTCATGCTAATAATTTAAATTTTAAATTTTTTTCTTTACTCAGAATGGCATTAAATAGTCAATAAACAGCACCATGACAAGTTGAGGCAGACCATGGAAGAAAGAAATCTACACTAATAAAAGAGAAAGATGCAAATTAACTGTACCTTCGCAACACCCACCAGCCAATCAGGAGTGAGTATGCAAATTAGCCCAACAAAGATGGCGGGTTAATTTGCATATGCAGGTGCCAAGCGGCTGGGGACAGGGCAGGATGCTTGCATCATCGCCATGGTGACAACGCAGGCGTTCTGCACCACCCCAGCCGCTCTGGGCCTCTGGGCAGCATGGGAAGGTGGAAAGGCGGCTCCGGGCCAAGCGAAGGCAGTTCCAGCAGCCAGGGGAAGGAAGGCCCATTCTTGCATGAATCTTCGTGCATAGGGCCTCTAGTAAACTTTATATTTTAGTAACCTTTTTTAAAAAATTTTTTGATGTATGTATGTATGTATGTATGTATACACACACACAATTTGGGATTTTTATTGTACATATGTGAGCTGATACTAAATATGCTTTGCAACTTATGTTACTTCACAATATGAAATGAACATATTTTCATGCATTTGTGTGAAACTTCCCAATTGAAAAATAGACCTGGAGAATAGGTCAAAATACAAAATCCAGTAAGATGCTGGTTAACAAGGAAACTATCTAAAACAAAATTCTACCAGATGATTAAAAGTAAAACAAAGGTAGAAGATACATCAGAATATGCTAATAGAAAGCAGAGGCCAGATTTTACTATCAGATAAAAAAAAAGAATTCAAGGCCTAAAGCACACAGGATAAGGTCCTCTGCGTGAATGTCTTTGCTTCCAATGCAGCATCACAAACTTGTTTCTTACTCTTCTTCTTTCTTCCCTAAGCCTTTCCATCTCATCTACTCCTCTTAGCATTTCTTCAGGGTCCAAATGCCTAACGGGAGTGTCCTCTTTGAATGCCTGCACAGGTTGAGTCAGCCCGCTTCTAAGGTTTCCTTCTGCTTCCTGGCTTACACCTTCTTCGGAAGGCGGAGGATTTCCTTCTGAAGGGTGGTACATCTTCTGAAGGGTGGTCTTCCTCCGCCTTTGGCATGTTCTGTGGTTTTCCTTCATTTTCTTCACGAGACTTTTGCATGTTGAGTATTTTTCTATTATTTCCTTTTTGAATAAATTAATCCTGAAAGGATCCGGGGCACGTTTCTTCTCCAGCAATAGGGAGCTGCTCCAGGGAAACAGGCCCCAGACTATTATTTTAGTAACCTTAACAGTGCTTTTTTCCCTACTTTCAGAGCAAGGGGATTTGCCTTTTCATCTTGCATTGGGCCACACAAAGTATGTAGCCAGTCTTGTTCAGGATATCTGGGACTCAAGACTCCCTTACTCAAAAGGTCCCTTACCTCTCTAACAGACCTTTCCCCAAGATACATTCTTCTGAGGGCAGACAGCAGCATTGCTCTGTGTGCTTCTAGGTGAGGGGATGCCCAAAAGGCAGCTTGAACTTGCCCCCCTGGGACACCCACTACATGCCACTAAGTTTGGGGTTGTTTGTTATGTGTCAGTAGAAAACAAGAACATGTAGATTGTCTTTTTTATTTTCTGTTTCCTGCACTAAACTCTGAGAGCAGGTGGTGCTTTGTTCACTCTAATATTCCCAACTACAGCAAGTCCTTGAATAGCATAGTTTTGTTCAACATCATTTCATTATAACGTTGATGAGATGCCGTAGGAACTTAACTCTTGTTTATTTCAATTAGCCTATGGTAAAATTAGTTGTTGTTGGCATATTAATGGGAGGGATTTGCCCCCAGGCCGATCAGCTGCAAGGACTGGCTTTGACCACTGACCACTGTGGAGGATCAGCTGTGCCAGCGCCCACCCCACAAGAGCAGGACTTACTTCAGTGGAGCTATGGTGCCCACTGAGTCTGCTTCTTGAGTATGTTGGGTGATTGGGTGGTATTTTGACGTGGTCTGAAGTGATCCACTTGGTACGCTGGCTCTAGGGCCTCCTGGAAGGTGCAGACCAAGGTCAGCCACCATCTGTGTTCTGTCCAGGGTCACACAGTTTGAGCTACCAAACTGTTTACAGCTGGATGCTACTTGGGATGGGCTTGGAGGTGCCCAGGAGAGGCTAAGCTGCAAACCATGGCCAGCTGCTGCTGGTGCTGGGCCTGGGGCTATTTAGCGAGAGGTATGGGATACACTGAAGCCACATGCTGCTTGTTTGAGAGATTTTAGGAATGTCTGAAGCATGAGTCACGACAGGCCATTGGTACAGGAAAAGCACTGGAAAGAGATTGGGTGGGCCTGTAAGTTTGGTGGTGTGGGGTCTCAGGGAATCACTAGGGCAGGGCAAACAGTGTGGGCCAGGTTGATGGAGACTCATATATGGCTCCTGTCTACTGGCTTTGTGGGGAAAGGGCTCATCAAAGGAATAATGACCTCTGCCAGCACTTTTGTCTGGGAGAAAGCTCCCCTCCAGCTCTTGTCCTGATGCCAGACACCTCAGTTCCTCCCTGTATGTCCCTGGTGCCTTTCAAGCTGCTATCTCAGTGTTGAACTCAGAGGTAGCCAGTCGGAGTAAGTCCATGCATGGACGCTTTAAGAGGATCTGCCTGGGACTCTAGTAGCCCTCCATCTTATTCAGCCTCAATACCCACTGATATTTACAGCCAGAAGTTATGGGGACTTCTCTTCTCAGCTCTGGGCTTGGGAGTCTGGTGTGATCTGAGATCCCTGGCTCTTCAGGGGGACTTCTGTAGCCGAGATATCCCTCCTGATTTTTATCTTGCACACATAAGTGTGGAACTAGCCCATTTTGCTTCTCCTACCAGTCTCAATGTGGCTTCTTCTTTATAATCTTAATTGTAGGACTTTTATTCAGCTAGATTTCAGGTTGTTCCAAATGATGGTTGTTCTGTAGTTTAGTTGTAATTTTGACATGGTTGTGGGGTAATGTGAGTACCTCATTTACCTATGCCACCATCTTGACCAGAAATCCAAGAATTATTCTCTTAAATTATCTTTTTATGAAAGAGAAGGATTAAGATTCATGAATTTCATGTGTGTGAATTTTTTTAAAATATGGTAAAAAGTGTTGTATCAAATTTGTAAGGTATTCAGAGAAAACTATTTGCAGATGTGCAATATTAATATCTTACCTGTCGATGATAATTACAAAATTATGGACTATACCTTAACAATCTATAAAAACTTTGTTCTTCCAAGGCTCTAATTTTTGCTTTGGTTTTTAGATCGTATAGGCCACTGAAAAACATGTATTATGTCCTTGCATGGGATAAGTACAGGGCTTAGCTAAAAACAAATATACTGAAAATATAACAAAAGAATCAAACAAGCTAATTAAAATCTTTAAAAAGTTGTGTTAAGCTGGCTTCTTATTCTGCAGAAACACTGAGTTTATTCCACAGTTCAGTCTTGGCAGGACTTTCCTCTTGATGATCATCATACCCAGCATGCAATAATCATTGTTTATGTTCAGCTTCTATGTTATCACAAAATATAGAGAATAATCTGAAATGTAATGCATAAGCTGTTATGTAATTCTGATTTTAGCACATCAGTCAGCACACTGTTTAGTTCAGTTGACATTATTTTCCTAGCAAAAGTATCTCAATGCAGGAGAGTGCAGTAATTTACATTCCAGGGACACCTTAATCTTAGTACCTACTTAGGTTGTCTTGTAATTGCAGCTGAGCCATCAGATTACTTTTATATAAAACTTAAACTTTGAACCACATTTGTTGACAATGTTTTATACAGAACATTTGTCTCCATAGTTTTATACAACACAGTGCTAATAGTATTTTCAGCAACAAGGTTGAAAAAACAAGCCTTCCATAATATTGCCAACATATTGAAGTTGTACATATGCTAAAAATTGCTATATTAATATCTTCTAATAATAACAAGTTGCAATGGAGAACACTTTGCTTGCTTTATATTTTCTATGAGTTGGTCTTCCATAAACTAGCCTGTTTCTGTCGTTGCAAAGAGATACTGGGGCCAGCAATTCATCCAACATTTCCAAGCAAATACCTTTGTTGTGTCTTTCTGTAATGCCTTGGCAGTTGTATATGGCTTTTTAATCTTAGCAAACTGAAGGGCTACTTTATTAGAAGCCTGCACAGCACTAATGTTTATGTGTGAAAAACTGAATATCTGCTTCTGTCGACGTTTTATTGTAATGTGGTCTTACTGTGTATGTCTTGTGTGAAGCTTTTAGCACATGTAATTCACCAGGCCAGTGTGACAACATCCAAGCTGGTCCACATCCTGTTCAATGAGCCAAGTCCATTGTGTGCTCTTTCTTGAATGTTGCAGCAATGTCAAATTGTTATAAATGTTTTCAAATGCCTACTCTCAATTTCACTTATCTCAACCATAAAAAAACAGTTCATGGAACAACACTGGTCTGGGGCTTACTCTTTAAAGTACAGGATTTGGAGTCTAGAGAGATCCAACTTCAAAACTAAATTGTATTACTTACCAGCTATGTGACCATGGGCAAATTCTGCAACCTCTTTGCAGCTTCCTCTTCTCTAAAATGGAGATAATAATGTCAATCTCAAGGGGTTGTGGTAAAGATGAAATAATGCATTCATGCATTTGTTCATTCAAAAATATGATTGAACCCCACTCTGTGCCAGAAGTTGTTCTAGAATCTTGAGTTCCCTCAGTGAACAAAACTGGCAACATTGGGAGAAAGACAGACAATAATAATATCATCAACACAATGAATAAGTAAATTATAAAGTATGTTAAAAGGTGATATGTTATGGAAAGCAGTGCACAGTAGAGTATGGTTAAAGGAAATCAAGAGTGCTGGACAGGGAGTGGTGGGGTAGATTGCAGTTTTAATGGTGTGATCAAGAAAAAATTTGACTCAATTCAATAATGCAAGCAGAATCGCCAGCACAGAGCGTAGTTAGTACTTAGTAAATGGTAGCTTGTATCATACGTAGATCATGATGACTTGGTGTTGCCCTTCAGGAAGCTAAAATGCCTTTACTCTGGGGTGCTTATTACAAATGAGTGTGTATACACAGGTACGTATGCACTCATACACACATTCTCACATGCCATAGACATTTTATTTGGATTCTGCCAGCTCCTTCTGAAGCACATCTTCTATTTGCATTCATGATCATTGGGGCCCAGATGAGTGGAAGTTAAATTGGTTTAGGGGTAGAATAGAATGAAATGAGAAGCTCACATTTTCTTTTTTTTGCTAATTAACATAGAGGACCTGTCAAAAGGCTAAGACCAGCATTTGATTCCACCCCAATTCTGTGTGTGTCAAACTTGACTGTTTTTCTCTTTGATAAAGTGTCACTGTCTCTTTTGATGCTGCAAGATGTATTACATTTGGCAAAAACCACGGGAAAAATTGTAAAAGAGAAGTGTTGTCATCAACTAACCTTCACAGTTGATGTTTCTTGAAGATTCAACTGACCTTCACTACCTTTTCGGGAATATCTTACTCTGGGAATTGTACACACAGCGCGATAAAACTTTCATTAAGTAAAAAACAGTAGAGATATCTACAGAAAAAAATGGGTTATTTAGACTGGTGGGATTATGGGTATTTCCAACTTTCTACAATCAGTATGTATTTTTTAATAATCAGAAACAGCCCATAAGTGTTATTTAAAAAAGAGAGAGGGAGAGAGATAAAATAACCCACTCTTACTAATACAAAGAGGCTTGTTCTTTTGTGCTTTCCTTTTCATCATGGGGGAGGTGGAGGAGTGGAATTTATTGGTTTGGGGATTGTTTTGAGAATTTCTCTTTTGGATTTTATCTCCACATTCTCGGAAAAACTCTAGGTAAATTTACTACTCAAGCTGCTTTGCTGGTTTATTATTAGACCATCCTCTAAACTTGGCTGGAAATCAAAGGCTCATCCAGATAAGAATCTCCACAATGTGCATTTTCAGAGCAAGTCAGAAGCTGCTTTGTTTTAACACTGGAAGAAAGCTTTTGTCTTTTCAATTTCAAGTGCTCTGCAGTAAACCAACAGTCCATATAAATAATCACAAAAGGGTCGGATGTTGGTTTGAGTCAGTTTCAGGGGTGGGGGGAATCACTATTGAGGAAAAGCAAGTGTTTAAAC